CCTACCTGCATCCAACTATCACCATCCCACCTACCTTCCCCACCCCCACCCCCCCAACCCCAGCCCCACGCTTCCCAGCTATTTACTTCCCAGCTCCCTTCCCCTTCCCCAGTCCTGATGAAGGGTCCCGACCTGAAACATCGACTTTCCTGTTCCTCTGGTGCTGCCTGACCTGCTGTGTTCCTCCAGTTCCATACTATGTTGACATTGTGGAGCAGTGTAAGATGGAGAGTATCATGGATAGAGACGTGGTCACACCGCAGGCTAAGACTCCTATGGCAGGGAGGGAATTGGTAACATCCAGGCAGGCAGGAGGACGAGGTAGGCATTGCAGAAGTCTCCTGTGATTATTCCTCCAAACAGATATACTACTTTGGATTCTGTTGAGGAGAATGGCCTGTCAGGGGATGCAGCAAAAGCGAGATTTGAAGCATTACCGTTGGCTCTGCTGCACAGGGAGAAGTGAAAAGTATCGAGAATGCAGTAGTAATAGGAGATCCAATTTAGGACATTTCTGTGGATGCAAACAAGACTCCAGATTGCTATGTTGCCTCCCTGGCTCTAGCGTCAAAGTTACCTTAGAATGGCTGCAGCACGTCTTGGAGGAGGAGTGCTTATGGTACACGTTGGTACAAATGTCGTAGATTAAGAAAGAGGGTGAGGTTCTAAAGGCAGAATATAGGGAGTTAGAAAGTAAGTTGAACAGTAGGACCTCCAAGGTCATGATCTCAGGATTAATTGCAGTGCCAAGGGTAGAATATCAGGCTATATCGGATGGACATGTGGCTGTAAAAATAATGTGACGGGAGGTTTGAGATTCCTGGGCTCTTGGGACTGGTTCTGAGAGAGGTGGCACAAGTACAAACTGGACATGGTATACCTGGGCAGGACTGGAACTGTTGACCTTGGGAGAATATTTGCTAGAGTCATTGGGAGGCTTTAAATTAAAAAATGGGAAGGGGTTGGGAACCCATGCAAGAAGTCCAAGGAAGGAAAATTCAAATCAAGAACAAAAGACAGAAAGAGGAATAAGAAGAGTGATAGGCAGAGAAATCAAAGGCCATGATCAAGCAGGGTCACAATGAAAAATAATGGGAATGGGTCAAGTAATGTTAAAAAGACAATCGTTAAGGCTTTGTACCTTAATGCACAGAGCATTCGCAATAAAATGGCTAAATCAATAATGCAAATAGACAAAAATGGGTAAGATATGATTATGATTATGGAGACATGGTTGCAGGGTGACTAGGGAACTGAATATCTGGGGCTATTCAGTATTTAGGAAGGACAGACTAAAAGAAAAAGCTAGTGGAGTTGCATTGCTTGTTAAAAACAAAATGTCATGCATTACTCAAATCTTCAGTATGACCACTAATGACCAAATGGAACATTGGACCCTTAATACAGCACATTATTGAGATAAATAATGTAGTCCAAGATCTTGAATTGTTTGGTGTGAGACATCCCTTGTCTCTATAGTTTAAATTTTATTATTCTGAACTGTTGTCAAAAGAATCATTAAAATGTTGATTTAGTGGTATTTCTGCAGTTATATATAACTAAAATTAGCAGTTCTTTGCTAATTTCTTGGATGATTAAAAGCACATTCTGCAACTCAGCTGGACTTTAATAATCCCTATCAATGAGGTGATCTCATTGAAACATATAGTATTCTTCAGTAGCTTAACAGGGTAAATGCTGAGAGGATGTTTACACCCATGGGAGAGTCTAGGACCAGTGGGCAGTGTCTCAGGATGAAGTGGCACCAATTTAAGACTGAGATGAGGAGAAATGTCTTCTGTCAGGGGATAGCAAGCCTTTGGAACTCCATGCCACAGAGAGTTGTGGGGGCGGAGTCCTTGTGTATATTTAGTGCCGAGATAGATTCTTGATCATAAGGGAATCGAGGGTTG